GGGCCGCGGCTGCCGCGTGCGCCCCTAGAAGTGTCACGGCCTGGCTCCTGCCGGGCGGGCGGGCGTGCGGCCGAGACCCGTTTTGCTCGTGTGACACGGGCGGGGCGCGTGGGGCGGCTCGCTAGTGAATCGCGCCATGAATGTAAGGTGCACCAGGGCTACGAGACGGCTCCTTGCCCGCTGGGCGTGTGTACACCACCCGCCCGGGGACCAGCGCTAGAGTTGGTACACCGCTTCCAAGCACTGTCTAGCAGGCCGGCTCTTTGAATCCCTGGATTTCATAGCTGGGCCCCTTCCCCTGTGCGGGTGAGACCTGCCTGGGAGCCGGCTCTGGAGCTTTGTCAAGCACTGGATGTTTGGCAGACCCCCCCTGCCCTCAGCTACTCATTACACATATCATGTGAAGCCCAGGCCAATTGCACAATTGACTCCGGCCACACGTGCCAAGAGATGATTGCGCCACGGACGTAACTACAGCTTTGAAAAGAGCCACGCCTGTGTGAAGGTAGTCCTTGAAAACAGATAACGGTTCCCAAGCTGGTTTCTGTCATTGATTTGAACGTGCAGCTGAGCCCAGAGACTCCCTTCTGTTGCGTGGTAGTGACTTGGCCCACGCGGGCTGTCTAAACGTGTCGTGTGGCTCACCAGGGAACTGTGTGGCGTTTATAAGGTGGAGCCAGGGGTAAGAAATAGCTCTTTGCCCTGCGGGTTGCTCCACCAGCAGCTCTTATCCAGCCTGTTGCATGGCCCTGCTGTGCGTTCGTATGAAAGCGGCACGGAAACCAGCTTTAGAGTTGGTACGCTGTTCTCAAGCACTATCTAGCAGGTTGGTTCTTTTAATAACATACCAAAGGTCTTGATTTTCGACACGGTAGGGGTGGCGATACTCTCATGACACGATAATGAAAAGGCTCCCTAGGTATTTCATAATGTCTGTGAAATATCTGGAGCCTTTTTATTTTATTTTTTTAATCGTGTCATGAGAGTATTGCCATCCCTACCGTGTCAAAAATCAAGACGTTTGGTATGTTAATCATGAGATGCTCCGTTTTAACCCCCCGGCTTCTCGCACGTGTGCCCTGAGCAGCCCCCCTACCCGCTGCAGCCCCAGGCTCGGTGCTGACCTCTCCACGGCTGGGCCCTGCCGGGGCTTCCGGGGACTTTGTGGCTGGTTCTGGCCCAGTTGAGCGCAAGGCGCGCCAAAAGAAAAAAATCCCAAGATTTGAGTTACATCCTGAGATCAGGAGCCTGTGATTTCTAAGTAAAATTAACTCTTAAGTTGGCATTACTGTGATAATTACTTTGCATGTGTGGCCAGTTTAAGTATGTTGCATGACTTGCCAGTGAAGTGCGTGGTGTCCGTAACGTGTAGCACATCATGCCACAGCACCGACCAGCATCGATAACCTCGGAGGTGCTGACTGAAGGAAGGCTGTTTCTCTTCAAGCCTGTCCAACTCTCTGCTGCTTCCTTTCCTGGGCAGTGGGGAAACCAGTCCCTTGCTGTCCTTTTAACCCAGGGATGCTCCAGCTCCCTGGGGGGCCTTAAATGAGTTGGTGTCAAGGTGCCACACAACGTTGGCACTGTTAGGTGCGTGGACACGCTTCACAAGGGAAACCTAGGGATTTCCCATAGGAATCTGGAGTGTCAAAAGCTTTCTGCCTGTCGTGGTCTTCCTGAGTTCTTTGCCACACACAAACTGCTCTGTTGTTTTGTGGTCAAAAAACAAGGGAAAACTAAGAGCAGGCGTCTTCCAGGGGGAGCCTCCAGGCTGCCCAGGGATGCCGCAAGTCTAAGGAG